GCGCCGATGAATGCCGAAGTTTCTTCCTGAAAAAGTCAGTTTACCATAGAAAAATCGCGTTCTAACGTAGCGGAATGTATTCGGGACGTCCAGAAGGGGCCCCAGCTCGATTCGCGCGAGCACACGCGGCACGGTTTCGGAGGAGATACGTAAAACGACACTTCGGCTCTTTCTACTATTATATAGTAGATGTGTGTGTGCGTGCATGCATGTGTACATATATATGATGTATATATAGCGATGGCGATGTGCAACAAATAATTTGTATCATTTCCAGCTCCATGCCAGTCTTAAAGTCAAAATCTTCTTGGGAATCCCCTTCACATAGCCAACCCACAAAGAGAAAGCTTCCTGGATGGTTGAACTCTGGTGGAGGGAAGGTAGCTGCAAAAAAAGTGAAATCGAATAGCTTATTTAAACGATAATTGGTACAGATAGAGCTTGTTAATAAGGAAAAAAATCTTTGGTTGTAAATGATGTATAAGCAGAAATATTATAAGAAAAAAAAATTGTATTTAAATAAATAAATACTCGTGTTTATAGGTCAAGTTATTGTAAATATGTGGAGAAAGTTACTCCTGACTAATTTTTCCCCATATCTTGATCTAAATGCAGACATCAGTTACCTATAGTAAATCCTGTAACCATTGTTTTATGTATTGGTCTTTGTACTAGGTGAATAATGACATGCTATAGGAATAAGAGCAAGCTTTATTGACATTTTCTGTGATTATTTAGCCTATAGATAAAAATTTCTAATAAAACTTTTGCTACAATAGTAAACTTAATAATTTATTTATCATAATTCTTGTTTATAGTTATTTTTATCCCTATTCTGAAAGTCCTCACTTTCTAATAAATATCCCAGCTTTTATACACACCACACAATTGAACAAATGCACAGGTAAGGGTAACTACTAACTAGTAACATCAACATTCAAAGATGAGTAAATTTAATAAAATTAATAGAAATTGATGTTATTCAGTCGCGTACCCAAGGGGGTTTCCAGGGATTCCGGAACCCCAACCATTAAAAAAACAATACAGTCAACCTTGCCTAAGTCTGTCTTTAAGTAAGTCGCTTAAAACTTAAAATGCAAATTAAGAAAAAAGCGAATTTTCAAAGTTTTCCTGGTGGTCATGCCTCCCCGGACCCCCTAACATGGCTTCGCACCTTTGGCGCTTGCAGTCACCCGCACACCTGATTTGGAACCCCCCCTTAGGCCAATCCTGGGTACAGGCCTGTTATTCATATTTATTTGCTAAATGTACATGCTTTAATATCTTCCAGACCATGTCATTTGGTAATTGTAGGCTTGTAGTGAATTTGGGTCAAGAATGTTTGCATCTGGAACATTTAGTGTCACACGAAATTCCCAATGGAAAATTCCTGGGTAGGCCTACATCATTGTTATAATACCAGCACTACCGCACACGCTAACTGATAGCTGGTAACATAATATAACAGCATGCATATTTTTAGCTCACCTTGACATCGTCAAGATGAGCTATTGCCATGGGGCGTCGTCCGTCGTACGTACGTACGTACGTCCGTCCGTCCGTCAACGATAAATTAAAGGGACAGTAGCCTCTAGGATTTTACTGCATACAACTGTACTTACTGTATAACAAATCGTCTATACCCACACGTATTTGTTACCAGATACC